CCAGTATACAATGGAACCAAGTAGAATACTCATTCCCATTCCAAAAGGGAGGAATGGCAGCATAGTGAGGAAATACCAGACCAAAGCAAGACTGAAACCCAGCAGGAAAAACACCAAATCCTGTGGCTCTATGTCCAACTTATAGGGCTACTTTACTTCCAAAGAACTTAGATGGCTCAACACCTCTAGTTTTGCCGCTTGCAACATCTATCTCCCTCTTGGACTGGTATCACTCCCTGTATGCAGCTCTCCTTGCAGATGTCTCACGGCTTTCACATCTTGGAATCTCCACTGCCAACCCAGCTTCACCATCATAGCCTCACACAGTGCCCTGTCAGGACCTTCTTTATGCAGGGACGCCCCTGATGTAAGCTGCCTAGCTTTGGCAGTTTTACTGCAGAGGAAGAACCAACGACCCCTCCATTCTTGCATTTTTCATGCCTTTAAAGTCAGTACCATGCGAATGACACTGCCAAGTTTGACTGCCAGCCAGAGATGAACCCTGGCCGTCTCCATCCACATTGCCAGCAGCTTTTCTATGCTGTGGTTTTCTAGGGGCAGCGAAGACCTCAATCATTTTCCTTTCGCAAGTTGGAGGATTAGCTGGGTGGGATCTTGCCCTAAAGTTTTTGTTTAAGTGCAAATCTGTAGGCCTCTCCTTAATGACTCTAACCTCCTTATCAAAGAGATTCTCCCCTGGGTTGGAGGGATGGCTCAGCTGTTAAGAGCACTGACTGTTCTTGCAGAGGACCTGGGTTCGATTCCCAGCACCCACATGTCAACCAACAACCGTTCATTACTCCAGTTCCAGGAGAATCTAATGCCTTCTCCTGACCTCTACAGGTGTGCATGACATGGGTGCACTTATGTACATGCAGGCAATACACTCATACACAAAAAAATAAATAAAATATTTTCCTCTCCTTCAGCACATGTCTTGTCTCCAACATTAACCTTCTTAGTTTTCTTTTTCAATCCAAACTGTACATTTTGCATTTCTAAAAAGAAATGTCCCCATTTGCTTTTTTTCATTGTGGAACTCCATAATATTCACCATTAATAACCATGCCACTAATTCAATATTAGACTGTCTTGAAATTTCCTCTGCCAAAATTATTCCATTATTTTTCAATTTAGCTTCAGGCAAGCTCTTTGACTGTGGGCAGAAGGCAAACAGACATTTTGCCAAAATATTCTACCTGCTGTTTAAGTCCTGATTTCCCTCTGGAACTACTTTGCTCTCAGTACTACTTTTTTCCAGGGCTGTTAAGTTCTTCCACAGCATTCAACTGCTGTTCTAGTCCAAACTTCTGGTTGTCCACATTCTTTCCAAAACACATGATCAGGTTCTTCACAGAAGCAGCCTGCTTTCTGGTACCCACTTCTGTATTAGTTACTTTTCTGCTTCTGTGAGAAGATCCCATGACCAAGGCAACTTACAGAAGGAAGAGTTCTGGCTTATGGCTCCAGGGGACAGTCCAGAATGATGAGGGGGACATGGTGACAGGAGACGGATGAAGCAGAAAACCAAAGAATCACATCTTCAAGAAGATACAGGAAGCAGAGTACAACTGAAAATCTGACAAGGCTTAAGAATTCTCTAAGCCTGCCTCCATGGACACGTATCCTCTAGCAAGACTGTACCTCCTAAAACTTCCCAAAACAGTGCCACCAAGAGGGACAAAAGTCCAAATACTTGGAGCCTTTGGGGGACATTTTCATTCAAACCACAACAAACATATTTTTAATGTTCAATTTTTCAACGGTCTTTCCTCTCTTTGGTTAAAATTATTTTTGTAGCTATTATTAGCAGTATTTTTATTTATATCATGCCTGATAATTTTTACTTTTATAGAAATACTACTGATTTCCTGTGTCAATTTTTTGTTATTTATATTAACTGAATTTTGTAATTAATTTTAATATATTTTGTGGCATTTTTAGGAATATATATATGATTATGTGTCTTCAAACAGAGACACTTTTGATGTATTACATATTTTTTTCTTTTGCTTAATTTCTCTGGCTGAAACTTCAGCTACTTGAAATGGCAAGAGTGAGCAAACTTACCTTGGTCTTGACAGAGAAGGAGAATTTTCAGCTTTTTCCTGCTGAGTATGTTACTAGCTGTAAGGTTTTATTTTCTTAATGTATGGCCTATGTTGTGTGGAGGTACATTTCGTCTGTACCTCATTTGTTGATAGTTTTATGAAAAGAGTTGAATTTTGTGAAAGGTTTTACTATATATTTTAGATGCTCTTATGTTTTTTCCTTAATTCTGTTAAATTGATGTGTCACTTTTATGAAATGTGTATTTTGAAATATCCTCAGTAAGGCCCACTTGGTCTTTCTGAATGATCCTTTGAACATCATGTTGAATTTAGTTTTCTGGTATTAAAACAGAGGATTTTTGTGTCTGTGTTCATCAGCAATGCGGGGCTGTAATTTAACACCTCTTTTCTTCTGGTATTCTTTTCTGGCATCAGTAACAAGGGAACACTGTCTTCATAAAGTGAATTTGGAAGTATTTTCTCTCAGCTTTTAGGAAGATTAGTTATCTTTGAATATTTGGTAGAATCCAGCTTTGAGGACATCAGGTCCTGGGCTTTGGTTTAATGGGCAACCTTTTATTACTCATTCAGTCTTACACATTTATGGTTGGTTCCTGTTTTCTGTTTCTTCATTATCCCATCTGTCCTAGTTAGCTTTAATGACAGCCTAGAATCATCTGAAAGGAAAGCTTCAACTGAAGAATTGTCTAGATCAGATTGGCCTGTGGGGCCAATTTTCTGGATTGTTAATTGATAAAGCATACTGTGAATGGTATCATCCCTAGGTGGGTCCTGGACTGTATCAGAAAGCTATCTCAGCATGAGTCTGGGAGCAAGCCAGCTGACCAGCAGCCTTCTCGATGGTTGTAATTGTACTTCTTAGCTGTGAGTGAGTTCCCTGATTGGACGTAAAGTTGTGTGGGATAGCAAGTAGCCATGCCTTCAGATTTCTGTGTTTAGTTTCTGCCCTCTCAGTGATGAACCTGAAGTGTAAGATGAAAAACTATGATCTATGGCTTCTCCGGTCTGTTTCTTTGCTGTTCTGATCTTTGTCATTTCCTATTTTCTACTAACTTTGGGCTTAGTAACTGTGTTTACTAAGCTCTCTTATTTTGCTGCATCCCATAAGTTTGAGAGTAGTTTTTGGTCCTCTGTTTTTATGCCTCAATGTGTTTTTACATCTCCCTGCTACCTTCTTCTTTGACCCATTGATTGTTCAGAAGCATATTCTTAATATTTTTTTTCTTATTATTTTTAATGTTATGAATGTACTGCTTGTATGTGTGTAAGTTCACCTGTGTTGTACAATGCCCGCAGAGGTCAGACGAGGACGTCAGATCCCCCTGGAAGTGGAGTTACAATGGTTGTTAGCCACCATGTGATTTCTGGGAATCAAACCCAGGTCCTCTGCAAGAGCAGCCCGTGCTCTTAACCACTGAGCCATCTCTCCAGTCCCGGAAGCATATGTTTTCATTCCCATTTATTTGCTAATTTTCCAAAAGTCCTCCTATTATTGATTTAGTTTCTTGACTCTATGGTCAGTAATGATATCTGATAAGATTTTAGTCTTGTTCCATTTTTTAAAAAAATATTTATTATTTTTATTTTATGTGTATGTGTGTACCACCTGCATGTATGTAAGTGCACCCGTATTGTGCAATGCCCGTGAGGGACAGAAGAGGGCATCGGATCCCCTGGAACTGGAGTTACAGACAGTTGTTAGCTGCCATGTGGGTGCTGGAATTTGAACCCAGGTCTTCTGCAAGAACAGCCAGTATTCTTAACCACTGAGCCATCTCTCCATCCCCCCACCCTTTGTTCCATTTTTTAAACATGGTTTGTTATGTAATGTGTGTTATGCTGTCAGCTGAAATCTGTGTATTAGGCTCTTTTTTAAAGACTCACATTTCATTATTGATTTTCTTTCAAAATAGTTTGTCCCTTGATGAAATCGAGGCATTAAATCCCCTACTGCTATTGTATTATAACCTGTCTCTTCCTTTGTACCTGCTTCATTTGCATATTTAGGTGTTTCTATATTGGGTACATATATATACTTACAGCTGTTATATCCTCTTGAAAGTTTAACCCCTTTATCACTGTATAATGACCTTATTGCCTTATTCTGCGGTTTTTGACCTAAGTCTGTTTTACGGACTGTAGATATAACTACTCCTGTTCTTTGGTCAATTCTCTTTGCATGTTTTCTCTATCCTTTCACCCTCAGTCTCTCTGTCCTTAAATGAAAAGTGAGCCTGTTGTAGGCAGCTTATAGATTAAAAAAAAAAAATCTGTTAAGCTACTCTGTATTTTTGGCTGGAGAACTTGATGCCCTGGTGTTTAAGGTACTTAGCGACAGGTAGGACTTACGGTTGCCATTTTGTTCAGTTTTCTCACTGTCCAGGAAAACACTTTGTTCTTTCTTTCTGTCTTACTTTGATGATGATTTCTGTCCACTTGCAGCCTTTGACTTCTTACTTTTTTCTTTTGATAAATCTACTATGTGTTTTGATTTATGGTATTATTAAGTTTAGGGAAACATAGCCATAACAGTCTATTTCAAGCCTGATAACAATGTAACTTCAACTGCTTATAAAAACCCATATATTTTTGTCATCCTCCTCCTAACATTGTTTTTATATCATAATTTACATATTTTATTTTGTATGTGTTAACAATTATTTTATTAATTATAAATGTAGCTAATTCTCTCAACTTTATACTTCTTGGTTAGAACTTAAGAGCAGGGACCAAGTATTTTAATTTTCTATTTCACATCCTACTCAGTATAATGATGAGCACAGACCACTCTATTGCTTTGAGAATGAGGTATCTGTTTAGGAAGTGAAACCATTCAGTTCAGTGATATTTGATAGCATCGTCCGTACTGTTGTTGTGTTAGCTTGCTAGTATTAATGAGTCTCCCTCTCTTCCCTCTCCCCAACACAGCATGTGCATTCCGGTACAATGGACTCTCCTTTGTCTACCTTATCTACCTCTTGCTCATTCCTCTGTTCTCAGAACCAACGAAAGCAACAATGCAAGGTAAGATGCTTCATTGTTCCGTAATAGAGTTATGTGGTTTTGATATATTTTTCTGCACTCCTGAAATTTGTCTTCATTCAATGGGAAAGATACTATCTGTATAGAAGGGGTAGTTCAACAGAGAGTGGATGTCCAACATTGTAACCACTGTCAGGCAGAGTGGAACAGAACTCGTTTGTGATACATATTTTTTGCCGCTTACACAGTCAATCTCCCAGTAAGTTTATGGAAAACATCTTATAACCATAGCAATCTATTTCAAGTCTGATAACAATGAACTTCAATTTCTAATAAAACTTTATACATTTACGTCATCTTCCTCCTAACATTGTGTTTTTATATCATAATATACATATTTCATGTTGTGTGATCATTGACAATTATCTTATTATTAATGTAGCTTACTAGCAAACGTGATGGACTGTCTGGAATGTCGTGGCTTGTTAAGACTGAGAATATTATCAATGAACTAAGGCATGTAATGTGACTGAATTGGAATATGCACTTAAATATTGGGGAAGATATGGTAATTGGAAAAGGCAGAGCAGTATCTGCTCTATCTAAGCCACTTGGTGGAAGAGCCGTGTAGGAAGCCTGGCCATTCCTTGTTTTTACTTCAGTTGAGATTTCCTAGCTACACCTCAAGGGCATAATGAAAGAGAATGGCTACTTGCACAGTGTCTAAAGTGGGTTCCTGTGAAGCTTTAGGTCTGAGCTCATTCCCCTGCAAGAACCTCACGACACAGGAAAGAAGAGTAAGTGTGTTTTCAGAGGGGCTAATTAGGAAGGCCATTCTGCTTTCTGAATTTATTTAATTGGCATTCTTCCAATACGAAATACGAATCTCCACTGAGTTAGATGAAATCAATTGTTTTTTATAACACATTGTCATTGCAAGAAATATGGACTGTGCCAAATGCTGTAGGTACATGAAATAGCTGTGTGTTTCCATGAAACGAAAAGGAAATTGGGTCCATCCTGACCTTCAGTGGCATGGGAAAGGCCATTGTGGTGACTGCCTTGTCAGTGATCTGGTCTTTGGGAGAAGCAGCGAAGACCACAGTACGCACAGAGCAGCAAATGACTCCATCTTCCTCCTTGTCCTCATTGATTATCAAATTTCAGAAGCATGCTTTGATCATTTATGTACATAGTTAGGAATATATTTGCCACACTTTTTCCTGTCCCAAGAACATCGAGAATCACTTTGAATTACTTATGTATTTAATAGGCTCAGAAAACCTGTAGAAGTAGAAGTTCATGCAAATCCTTATCAGATCACAAATCCAGGGCTTATGGGACTCTACCTACCACAGCTTCTTTCTAAGGAGTTCAACAAGGAATTATTTCTGGTCTCAAAAACAAGATTATAGCATGTAGATGCAATTACTGTTTCAGGTATTGGATCTCCTGCTTCAAAGAAAGGTTTCATCATTATTTAGAATACAGCACTTTTCAAAATGAGAACTTTAATTTAAAAATTCAGTTAAACTGCCTGTTGCTTTTAGATCACTGTAGGCTCTTGTTCTATCTAAAGACCAGGTAACTGGAATTTCCCCCTTCAGGGGTGAATTTAGCCCTTGAATTTTCCTTTTGTTCCCTAATGTCAATATCGTTAAATACATGGCAGTTTTAGAAGTGTCCACTGGGCTAAGTCCAGTACGCTGGGGGATTGAAGCTATCAGGGAAGAGATAGATGCAACATAATATCAGAAACGAAACACAAATCTCCCCCAGGTGCTGAAATACCCTGAACGAAATGTTATAAAGCCAGTGCACAAAGGACTACACAGGTGTGTGTGTGTGTGTGTGTGTGAATGCTGATCATTTCAGAAGAGGAGGGAAAAACAGATGCTCCCGAGAAACCCACACACTTGTGTCGGAAGCAGCATCCTGGTGCTTTATTTCCCTCTTTCCTGTACTTCAGCACCAGGAAGTATGACTGATAGTCAACATAGTCTCATCTATTTGCTTATGTAATCCAGATGGAGGGCGGTGAGAAGAGCTGTCACATGTTTGTTTGCTTTTCCTGGGTTTCAAAATCCGTGTATTTCTAGAGTCTGCATTTACAGGTAAATTAGATTAGATTTTCCTGGATGGTATAAGGTCCTGTGTGAATTCAATTTGTGCAGGTTATACCTGCCACAGTGGAACAGCATAGCTTTTCGGGGAGACTCGGGCTCGAATGCACTGAATATTGCAAGTTTGGGTTCATAACCACATCTCAGGAATCATGTGCATTGGCAAACTGAAAGGGTCCTCAGCAAGCTCTGCACTCTGGCTCCCACAGAGTCTGTGCTCAAATCCACAAGTGAATTTGAATTGGTCCCAGGAGCTGAGGCAGGTACTATGCTGTGCCAGGATGCTGTACTAATATAGACTCGCTGAACTAGAAATGAGATGCACACATATAGCAACTGCTCTAGGATGCTCTGTACCTGTCCCTCCACTTGGATGAATGTGTATCTTGGCTTGTATGATCATGCTTTCTCTTAAAGGTGCCCAGTGTGTGGGGAACATGAACACTGTAACTTAGTACTGTCTTTAATGTAATCCTTGACTGTGTCTCAAATGGAACATTCTAGTTATTTAGGTTAGAAATTTCCAACTATTTGATCTTGATGCCCTCAGCAGGATGAAGGCTATCCGAAGGTGAATGGTGCTTTCACCATATCTTACCTGCTGTGTGTGGAGGAAGGAGGATCTGTAGTCAGTTCTATGCTAAAATGTTAAAACTTTTGTTTTTAAAAGTTAAGGTGGGGCTGGTACAGCTAGCTCACTGATGAGAATTTGCCTATCATATATGGGGGCCTATATTCTACTCTAGTACCCCCACTGATTCACACCACACACACGCACACACACACACACACACACAAATGTGAGGGTGTAACACTGCTTAGAGACTCATTATACATAGCACATGGATATTATCTGATTAGGAAGAAATGAAAGATACACAGTCAAAGAATTCTAGAATTGAAAGAGCTTTTAGGAATGACCACACACACCCCAGCAGCTAGTGAGGGAATCTCTTCTGCAACAGCCATGTCATCTGTCCATGTGACTCATTACATAGGTGGTGTAAGGAACTCCTATCTACCTGGGAAGTCTATAATATTGTCAGGTAGCTCTTTCTCAAAGCAGTGTTTCCAACCTAAACCAACAACGGTCAACAGAGACTAGAGGTCACCTTCAAGTAACTCTGTGAAGGGTTTGTTGAAGGATAAGTACTTCATTCATTAAATGGCTTAGATCATCAAATGTGGAATTATCCAGTAGGATTGTGTCAGTTGGGGTTCCACCATAAATCAGAAATAACTAGGCATTTTAAAAATGAAAATTTAATGCAAGAAATGTATTAAAAGTGATAATGCTGGTAGAATTTCACAAGTCAAACAATGGATCTCTGTGGAAATATTGCTAGCCTTCTTCTCACTCAGGTGCAGTTCCAGGAAATGGATTGTGGTTTTCCAGTGTCTCGTGATGTACAGGGTTAGAGATGATGCCTTTCTTCACCTTTTTCTCACTGGGCTGAAGGATAGTTCTGAAGGATGTGTGCTCTCAACTGCTGCTCCAGGCTGCTTTCTACTGGAGGCGTTCCTCTCTATCAGAATCTCTTCCCAAATGCCCTGCACAGCGGGCACTTTGGTGTTCCCTTTTGGGTTGGCAGAGCCCCTTCCTTTGTTAACTTTTTTGGCATAGCTCACAGTAAAGTCTCTTCCTGGGACTTGCTGATGGCTCTCCATGTTTATCTCTCTGTTACTATAACAAAAACTAAAAATAGTTTACAAAGAAGAAAGGTATATTTTAGCCCAAAGTTTTGGAGCTTTTTGTCAGTGGCCAGATAGACCCATTGCAGTGGGTTCTACAGAGAACATACAGCCCCCTTTGAGGCCACTCTCCTAGTACCTGATGACCTTCCATTAGACCTCCAACCTTAAACGTTTCCTCACCTTTCAATAGTGCCTATCTAGGGATTGTACCCTAAACACCTGGGCTTGAGTGGCATTTAGAACCCATTGAGATGACTGAAGGAAGTTACCTTATGTAAGCTTCTCCCTTTTACCAGGTCACAGGGGGTCATGGCAGCTCTAGGCCATCACCGTTCAGCCTAACCATGGGGTCCTGCTCCCTGGAAGGCAAGGCTTCAGGTGCACTGCCAAGTAATTTCATTGTAGTACAGGTCCAAAGGACACTGTTGAAGATGCTCACTCAGCAGGGCACAGGTGAGGCTGGAAGGCTTGGAGCTTGGAAGAGGATGTGGGAGCTGAGGCTTAGAGACAAAAATGGCCTCAGCACTGAAGTCCAAAGGCACACGGTATTACAGCCAAGGTTCCTCTGAGGCTCCAAGCCTGGTCTTCAGTGGACTCATTTAGATATCAGTTCATGTGGCTAAGTTTTCCCTCTTTGCAAATGGAAATCTATATTCTTCAGGACTATGAGGCTTTTTGAGGATCAGATGAACAAATAGAAGTTTAAACAAAATATAAATCCATTATACAGTTAGTAGTTAGCTATAGAATTCATGCAATTTTAAATTGACAAATGCGTATGCCATGGTTTGAATGTCCCCTCCACATGATGCCAAGTATGATTGTCATTGTAACAGTGCAAAAAGGTAGAACTGAGCTGGGCATGGTAGCATATGCCTTTAGTCCCAGCACTGGTGAGGCAGAGACAGGATCTCTGTGAGTTCAAGGCCAGCCTAGTCTGCATAGTGAGTTCCAAGCCAGCAAGGGCTACAGGGAGAGCCTTTCTCAAAAAGACAAAAAAAAAAAAAAAAAATGTTGAACGATTAAGGACGCTATGGTGGGCCTTTCAATAGAAAGGCGAGTCTGCCTCATGTGTTCCTTCCACTGTACAGCATGCAGAATGCAGATTGGGCCAATTATTTGTGCCATGCTATTAGGCTTCCTGACTTTCAGATCCGTTATAAACAAATTTCTGTCCTTTATAAATTGCCCAGTCTCTGATATTCTGTTGTAGCGGCAAAAATG